CAAACTATAACAAACATCCATTTAAAAATTAGTATGATGTACGTTAACAAGGGAAAATAGTACGAAGTTATGAAAATAACATTACCTTTTCAATATAACCTATTTCCAGTCAAATCACACAAAGTATTTACACACATTTAAAACACATTTACAGGTGTGAAACCACACTCTTTTGTTTCGTTTTTACACCAGCACTGTACACTACAAATGCTGTCGAAGTACGATTGATAACTGTTTATCATTATTAATGATAACGTAAACGGTTTTCGTATCATTGATTACTCATTGTATTAATATTCAATTGCTCTGATACCTTAAACAATTTCGTATATTGTTTACCTAATAAAATCTATACTAATATTATAAAGGAGAAAGATTTGTATTTTTGTATGTATTAAAATAACTAATACTGGGCCGATTTTAAAAATTCTTTCACCGTTAGGAAGGTAATTTATCTGCGAGTAACATAGCCTACATTTTTTTTTTAATTCACGCATGCGAAGTCACGAAAAACAGCTATAATTTATAAAATAAAATGTTGTAAAATCGTTAACTTAAAAGTTATAATTATGATATTAAAAATATTTGGTAATAAACTAAACGAGTAACAATTTAAGGGCCTGTCCCACCACTGGCTGATAGAGGCTCAGATAGCTTAAAAATGACGTCACTGTCAGATAAAGTAACAAAATCTGATATTTTCATTACAATATTTTACACGTTAGATTGTTATCAGACAATTTACAATTTGGTGGGACAGGCCCTATATACTTGACAGATAGTCCATTAAAAAATACTATGAAATATGACCTTTGAACTGAACAATGCGTTCTCAGCGCGACATATTCACGACTTTATTGGAAAGTGGATCACACCGCACACGCCGTAGTAACATCGGTTTCTAGAACATTCATACAAGGTCATACGCTCGCATCCTGTTCGGATAGCCACAAGGAAGCAAGATGGCGGAACTCATTTGACAGTTAATTTTGTCTCAATCATCAGACAGTTTTAGAGTTCAATTTTAAGGTTAAAAATATGCTTTTCTGCAGATTAAATAAGTAATTAATGTCCATGCTAACTGGTAAATAAGGACGTATGTTTGAAACTGCAGTATGTAAACGTCATATCGTTTTTCCCGCCAATTTGCGTAATACAGATAAACGAACATGCGTCGTTAAAAGGTTAATAAAAACGACCTCTACAGGTATCTATCAAAATGTAAAATACGTTTTTTATCTATGACGAGCTGTCGCACGCAAAACTTCGTTAGCGTAATTTTAGACCACTCGTTACCTCATTTTGACAGCGCGGAATTAAAAAAGTAGTCTATATGCCTATGCCAGACAGACAAACATTTTTTTTAATGTGATATTCGTTATCATCGTTATCCATCGTCTTCCCGAAATCTGAAATCTTTCTGAAATACAAACATATACTCCAATTTTATCATATGTAAAGAAGAGCCTAGAAAGGGAAATGTTAAAACCGTTAGATCGTATCGTTAGGAAGCACTATAATTAGGTTACTTGAAAACTAAAATAGACTTAATGGTAATTTACACACATCGGATACTCTTTGCAATCGGACGTAACAAACAAAACGCAGAACCAGTATCAAGACACTTTCATCACCTGAATGAACGATTGATGTACCTATTGACCGACTAACCGGTAACATTACGATAGGGTAACCATAATTGTAGGATTAGTAACTGTATTGTAATACTATCTTTTAACAGCGGCTCCGTCCGCGTAAAATAAAATAGTAGCCTATGCGTTCTTACTGTATTCTACATCTATGCCAAATTTTATAAAGATCCGTTCAGCTATTTAGGTCATAAACTCTAACAAACATCCATCTAAACTTTCGCATTTATAACACTAGTAAGAAGTAAGATTTAACTAGTTTGTAAAGCTACGTCATACAAAATTGCAAAATCTCAGCGCAAGAGGACTGATGTAAATAGTTTTTGAAGACCTTCATATTTTTTTAATTAATTCGACGACAAAAAATTGTTTTAAAAATCATGATCATACTTTGTCCGACGAAAATGATAAAATAAAAGTAATTTATAAAACAATTATAACAAATATCAAAGATGCAAATACATATTTAAAAAATAAAATAACAAACCCATATTTAATCGTGTGGTAATGGTTACCCTAGTTTAAAATAAAGATGATAGTGGAAGTTGAAAAACCAGATTTTATCGATAACAGTGTCAAGAATTTGTGTGTGCGAAAGTTACACGCAGAAAACATTTGGCAATTTTATTGAAATGTTACTTTTACAAAAATAGGGAAAATCAATATTTGTGAAGAACTAGCGTTATCTGCATATTGGCTCATAAACTTTTTGACTTTTACTATAAGTAAAAAAAAAAACAAAAAGAATATTTACTCGCAAAAAATTATTCACATTTAACTAACATCTTTTTGATGAAACGTCTAATAAACCTCGTTCTAAAACTAAAAATTAAAATAAAAAAGGGAAAACCCATGCATCCCTGGTGGGGATCGAACCCACGACCTTTGGATTAGAAGTCCAACGCGCTATCCTCTGCGCCACAGGGACGACAACAGTGTGTGTGAAATTACGTTACATGTGCTATTTCAACGCCACACGCAACGAGTAACGTATTCACTACGATGACGTCATATGACTCACACTAAAGCATCAATGACAAATTGATTTGTATTTGAAACTGTATCGTAATGCTATTGTAATTAAGATCATATTCCTTCGTTCACACATGAATACATAGTCGTACTAAGTGATAGCAATATCGTATTGTATAGCAATTTATTTTACGTTATGAACAAAAATACTTGAATACGTTCGGGTGTTTCCCGTTCGGTCGGTCGACCCAATGGGACTTTTTTCCCATTCGGCCGATCGAACTACAATCAATAGACTCAATAGGAAAAAATGGGCCCAACGAGAATCACTCTACATATCTCTCTGTAGCATAATCTGTGAAACTTTTGATCGCTTGATAAAGCGACAATTTGGTACAGAGCAATACAGTACAACACGTCAGAGAGTACAACTTTTATATCCGAACACAATGCACTACACACAGTACACTGTACATAGTACACTGTACACAGTACACCGTGCACTCGAACGAAAGTACAAGTTTTATGCGTATTCTCATAGCTATAGCGATGGCTAGACAGAATACGTTCCACAAACCAGTTCCAAAGTTACAAGGAAGAGGTCTCGAAATCGTATCGCTCAAGTTCATGGCTTTGCAGTTCCCAAGGCGATTGTATCGCAACGACGTATAGACTAGTTATTTAAATTAGCGCTGATAACTTTTTTTATAATTATTAACGCTTTGTATGTTAAATTGCGAGTATGGAACGCACTTTTTACCTCATTATTACGTATATTGTGAATCGAACATTCCTAAGAATACTTTAGGTTATAACATCGTATTCGATAATTCGTTGCAAATATTAAAGGACACTTTTGTAACTTTATAACGCTAAAATATAAATTGTAGAAAAAGGTAGTCTAAAAAGGAACGCATCTGACAAATTAAATCAAAATAGTGATGGGTCGAATCCAGTCGAAACCGTAACAAAAGTAACGGATTAATTGAATCTTTATCGGTTTAAAAAAACAAAAGTAAACGGTAAAAATCGATTACCGGAATAGAAAGAATAGATAAAATCTTTTAAAATCACAATAATAGTTTATTAACTAAAGGCAGATATATCATTACTTATTATTTTAAACAACCGGGGCTTGCGTACAAGAAATATTCCATCAAGGAAGAGAGTTCTTATGGCTTCATCGGACATTCATAACTTATGGATTTTTAGTTCACTCTACTTTTTTTTCTTGTTACACAGTTCTACTGATCTTGATTACATTCCCTTTTATAGAAAGTCCTTTTTTTACCTTCAAATGAGTATTTATTACGTGGTTTTAATATTTTTTATTGATATTTTTGTTTAAAACCGCCATTCTCTTTTATTGTATTCCTTCAAAAGACTACTGAGTAATGATATTTTAATCGTATTCCGTTAACGAAAAAATAAAGTTAACCAGTCATTTAACAAGAAGCGAATTATCGTTACGAAGTTAATTAAAACTGCAGTTTTTATACAACGCGGATACCCCGATTTGTATCTAGAACGAGTCTTAAATTACAATTTTGTTTTCAAGTTTTTTTAATGTCACACACTTTTGTCAAACTAGTTCATGTAAGCTTTTATTTTTTTATATAAATAAAATCATTCAATAGTAATTGGCAATAACTTTTTAATATAACAAGTAATAATAAACTGCTATTAATTTGGTAACACTGTTATTTAGACAAATAATTATAAGACTAATAACATATAGATACTGGGGTATAGGCTAATAACCAGAAACCTTGTATCAAAGATGTTAATTAATTAACCAAGAACTTAACATGGGTGGTTTAAAATGTATTGCGTGAGTTACATATAGCAATTACAAGGGGCTCTAATAATATTAATGAATTGGGCCACGACCTTACTACGTGTTAATCGAAAGGGTACGTTTAATTATAGACTTCGTATCAAATATATGCCATAACTAGCATATATTTCCATTAAGAAATCACGAGCAATTTAGGGAGATGGTGTTTTGTTGGATTTGACAAGGCGAGCATAGAATATAATGCCTCAGTTTACAATTTAGGGTTTACAGGAATACTCAAGACGGTGTTTATACCACCAGATTCAGTACTAATTATGTGTATTCGATATATTCAGACGTGAAATAAAAATATCAGAAGTCCTGGAGTCAAATTCCAAGGAGATCCCGTCATAATAAACGTGCTTTAGCTACGAGGTAATTAGCCAGTTTGTAATAAACAATGTAAAAACAATTTGTATTTACAAAAAAAGACATGCAAATTAAATACAATGTCAGCAAAACAACGTCTATCGTAACATGCTTTGAAAATCTATGTTTTTATGTATACCATTATAAATAAAAAAATAAAACAATTCACTTACCATAATATAATTAACGCGTACGCATAAAACAACCTATAATTTCGTTTATTTAATAACAAGGTAAAAAACCGTAATTTTTTAATCTGTATTTTGATGTCACATCACCATAACAACGCGCGATAGCTGTCAAGCGACGCATGCGTGCAGCGCGACGTTCGCAGACCAACTGCCAGATTTCGCGCCATTGCGCATTCGTCTTTCTTTAAATTTTTTACACGATTCCGTCTAGACTGGATATTAATTTAATAAGAACGTAATTAAAACTTTCAGGGCGTACACGGATTACTCCATTTTATTAAAGTGAAAATATTTTATACAGTGTGGTTTAATGTTTATCAAATTCTGCCACTGCTGTCAATTTAAATTATAATAATTTATGTAGTACACAGAAAACCAATAATATTATTACTAATAACAAACATAAAAAAAACATATAGACGAATTGAGTACCCCCCTTTTTGGGAAGTCGGTAAAAAAAAGTATAAAGTAGTTTTTTAATCAAATTTTAGTAAATTTAACCCAAAGAAGTAACTATTTTTTTACTTGGAGCGCTTCAACGTGTTTACTATTTGGTACAAAGCCTTTTAAGTGTTTTATGTAACTGATTCTAATAACATAGGAAAATAACTTAATAAAGTAGTCGATATATTGTTTAGATAGTGTTGTTATATGGTTTCACATAAGTTAATATAACCAAGGTTAACAAGATGTTATTTAGTATAACGATTGAATTGTTATTTTCGAAACAAATATGGCTTCTGTCAGATCTGGTCGCATCCTACATTCGGATTGGTTATTTTGTTCTTGCATTGGGTTACAATCTAGATCTATACTAAAATAATGAAGCGTAAACACACACTACTTCGTGGCGTAGGAAGTCAGCAACCACAGTATATTTTTGAATAATACTTTCTTTAATAAAAAGCACTACACTTACGACACGCTTTAGGCTTTATATTTAACGCTATTAAACATAGGGAGTAAATTAATTATAAAGAAACCTACGAGAAAGGGACCATAAACTACAAGCTGCCAGCATTGAGGAAGCAAAGTTATGTTAGCGGTAATTTTGACATTTTCAATTGAGAATTTGACAAATGTAAACCATAAAATAGAGTTTCTACAACTCCATGCGGATAAAACCGTACGGGAACAACTAGTATGTCTAAAAAAATATTAGTACTACAAACCTTATAAATCTAAAAAGCATAGAAGGCGTATTATAAAAATATGTAGGCGCATGTCATATGATACTCGGATTGTTTACAAATTTATCTTTACCGTCGATGCAAGAATGTATACCTTTATTGAAACGAATGAATAATGTAAATACCATTCTTCTATTTATCAACAACATTGAATATGTTAGTTGTTTTAAAATTATTGTTGACGTGTGCAATAATGTAGCGAGTTGAAGTGAATTAAGGTTTCAATATTCTTAAAAATAATACCGACTACAATAGAAAAGTTCATTGATACATTGTTTATCGTTTTTATTTCAAACTAACTGTTCCCATGCGACTTTATCCGCATGAAATTATAAATATTGCATTTTACTGTTCATATTTGTCAAATTATCAATTGCAAATGTCAAAATGACACGACATGATGTCAAACCAAAGCAACCTTGCGTCCTTGATGTTGGCAGCGACTAATGGTCTGTTTCCCACAGTTTAACGGCGTGAAAATATATAGCCTAAAGCGTGACGTAAGTGTAGGACTTTTTTTTTATAAAAAAAGGAGTTATTCGAAAATATGCAGTGATTGCTGACATCTTAGGCAACAAAGAAGTGTGTGTTTATGCTTTATTATAATAGTATAGATAGATGGTAATTTCTTTTTCTGTAAAGCCAGCTACACACGCTACGGTTTATCTGCCAGTTTCATTTGACAGTTATATCTGGACAATCGGATAATGCAGATAAATCAAACGTATGTAAGCAAAACTGTGGACTGAATTTAACTGTTCCCACTTGTTAGATTTGTCTAATCGTTTGGGACTGTTCAGATAAAACTTTTTTTTTTAATTCCTTTATTTCCAAAAAAAATGTTCTATACCTTTTTTTTCCGAAGGGGAATGCTTTCTGCATACTCCATGCCTCTGGGCAGACACGTGAGTTATGAGACTCTCCCCCCATAGTGGGGGGCATGGTAACCTAAGTCATTCCCGCCAAACAACTTACGTGGTTTGTAGGCGTCGTACCTTTTAATAAATAAGAAGTAAATGCAACAAAAAACTGTTCGTGTGTTGTGGACTTAATAGTATTGTACTTTACGGAGCTCTTCGTAAAGTATATTAGAATCCGATACTAACGTTAAGATTCAACTCCCAGAGGACTTAGCACAAATATTCGTAGAAACGCTTCGTAATTCCATCGTATTAAATCCGATCGTACACACAAATCTCATACAAATTTTGCCCATGACGTTACGAATACGTTCTCGTAATATCACGCGATTCATGATAGACCCTCTGTTCAAAAATTCAAGTAAAAAGAAGACCAAGTCGATAATTTTGTAAGACTTAAGGACAAAACATACTGGTCGCTATAAAATCTGATGGGTAACTTAAAATGTGGTTAGTACAACATACCCTATGGCGTTATTGTTTGGTCACACCCTTAAAAGGCCGCTTCAAGTCTTGTTATGGAGTTCAGACCACCTCAGCTGGAATCGAAATTCGTATTTTGGTTTATAAATTTTCTTTTAGTGATGTGAAAATATACAACTTAATTAAAACCTTCTTTGTGGATTCTTTACAAAATACATTCGAAAAATATTTTCGGTTGTACTAACGTCATCAATACACTGCTGAGTCCCGGAATAAAATATTGGCTAAAAATTACATCATAATTATGTAATTTTTAATCAGTGTTTTACTCCAATTTTTTTCACTTCCCATATGTCAATATTTATGGGAAGGATTACCATTAGGAGATGTTTGATTATCTGTCAAGCGTAAAAACAAAAGTATACACGTTTTATCATCAACTTGCAACTTGAGGGTGGGCACAGTATGTGCTGCTCTTCCATACATCTCTATCAGCCGTTACTATACTCGAAAAGCAAATACTGAACATCAAGTACTAAATATAAGGTACTTTAAAACAAAAACGTACAAATTACCTTTGCCTTTCACAGACGAAAACAGTCACGAATTTGGCGGGAACGCTGGAGACAAGATGGCGGACGACGCGGGTAAAATCACATGTGAGGTTACCATATGTTATGATGTCCGTAACGGGACACAAAATAAAGTCAGTACTATTCAAATCTGTGATAATACTATCTCTGTTTGTTTAAAAGGATAGAGTGAGATGACAATAAGTTACAAGTGAATATAAATATTTACGTACAATAATGTCCTGCAGGTGGTATAAAATGGTGTGACCCTATCCCCGTGACTTGTGCGTGTCTTCCCACGGTGGTGTTACAATATTTTTGTTATGTACCAGTTATGGCCTTATTTTAAGATGCATTTTTAAAGTATTTACAAACTTTAAAACTTTACTATATTTATTTCCAGCCAGTAGACCAGCCATCTTAAAAAAAATACGTCATCTATATCTATATCTTTATCTATACTATATTATAATAAAGTGTAAACACACACGTCGTTGCCCAAGACGTCAGCAATCACAGCATATTTTTGAATAATTCTTTTTTTAATAAAAAGCCCTACACTTACGTCACGCTTTAGGCTATACATTTTTACGCCATCAAACTTAGGGGGTAAATATTTTGGATAAAAAGCCTAATGTGGGAAAGAGATAATAAGTTGCTGCCAACATCAAGGAAACAAGATTGCCAATTGTCATGTCATGTCATTTTGACATTTGCAATTGACAATTTGACACATGTAAACAATAAAATAATTTTATGCTGATGTAATCGCATGGGAACAGCTAGTTATTTAGTAGTAGTAGTTCCAATCATATCTGCACAATTCCCGCGATTCTAATAATATTAACATTACTAAACTTTTTAATTTAGGGCAGAATTAAACGTCAATTAATGTGTAAAAATTATCTATTGAAACATTGATGTCTGTCAGATAATGGGCATTTGCGAAGCGAAATGTTCAAAACCAGTTCCAATATACGGTTAAAGTATTAAAAATACCATTTACCTTTACAATAAAAGTAATCATGAATAAAATTAATTAATTTTCACGGTTAAATACCAACGAATTTGTGTCAAACTATGACACGAATTTGAAATATTGAATCTTCATAATTAATTTTTAACGCAGAAAGTTTTTCACGATCCAGATTTTTAATTTCCAATTTAAAGTTGATTTTAATAAAAAAGACAATGTTTATCGAATGTAATTGTTTTAGACAGTTTTTTTTTACTTTAAGACAAAAGTAACAATTTCTTTAGTGCACTCTTGTCGTCATCATGTGTATTGGAGCATAGTAATGGCCTTACTACATTTTGGTCAACGATTTGATAGCCCCTTTGAAATTGTTTTTGATTGAGGTAATTTTCCTTGCGTTTAGTGTCGCCGAGCTATTTGAAGAATGGGTCAGTCGTTATACGGCCATTAAAGGATATAATTACGACGAAGCAAGGTAAAGTGTTTACGTTTTTAATAATAAATAACAGCAGGGCAATGTAACGCCGGAAAAAAAAAGGCTTTTTATACCGCTAGATGTCACTGTTAGTAGTAGAAGTGTAGTCTATACTCTATATCTGTAGCTAGGCTTATATGGGTGATTCCCACGGCTTCGTCTCGGCGATCTTTATCAAACTACAATGTTCACAAGTCTAAAACTCTATTAATTGATGATCAAATACATCAATATACGTATCAAATCACGCAATGAATTAAATTATAACGCTTTTTATTCAATAAAAAATAGATTTTAAAACTTCAAAAGATCATAGATTTTAAAACAAAAATTCAACAACGCCATCTAGTTTTTGCATTAATTAACATTGGGATTAGTTTTAAGTGACCATTTGTTTCATAAATATTTTTTGTTTGCAATCTATTTTGTTCTTTATAAATCATTCCTTAATTATTTTTCTAAGATATCTTTGTACTTTAAAGATTAAAGGTTGTTTAATTTGCAACAATATTATACAGCGCCATCTTTAGTAGGTGACTGAAATATAGATCGATATGTAAACTTTCTAAGGTTGCAAGC